GGGGGGGGGGAGATAAGGGAAAGACCAAGAGAAAAGCGATTTTGGTGATATAAGGGATTAATTATGATGGCTTATAAATGACTTTAAAGATGTCAGTAATTAACATTGTTACCCATAGAAATTCCTATCGCTTATTAAAACAATTCATCAGTTAACACCCTACCAAATGACGTGTTTATAAATAGTTAACAAAATATGGCAATCGGTTAAAAGATTATTGTTGCTAAGCGATGACATGCCCTATAGTTATGTTGTCACAAATGACCCAGCTAGTAAACCGTCGGTATTTCATAAAAAAACAAAGATTTTTTTTTTCTCTGTAGTAAATTTTGGCCGTCAATTTTAATGCTTTTTTCTATAGTGATTGGTTTGTTGTCCCCACAAAAATAAGGAACCAAGACTGTCCACACTTTCTAGCTAGGATCTTTTGATCCAACAAGTGAAACCTTGACCTAACCAAGCCAATACATTCATCTAGACCTAACAAACCTATCTATATGGCTAGATACACTTGAAATAATTTTTTTTCTTCAAAATGGACGAAAAACAAGGAAGCTTTATGAGTTTCCGACTTATGCTTATCCTAAGAGATTTGTCCTCGATGGGGTGGGTTGAGATTGATTGTTGTGTGTCCACCAAACTCCTCCAAGTGTGAATTAGAGGTTGTGATGGAATTTTCTTTGAATTGGATCAAGTGGTGGCTTGACTTAGTTTATGATAGGGTTCGAGTTAATACTAGTAGGTTTTAGATGTTTTGGGTTGACCTAGGTGGTCCTAGGAATGCAAGGGTAGGTTTAGATTAACATTAGGGGAGTTCAATTGGTCTTGGCTATTTTGGGTCATGGGCATGGTTATGGGCTCATTGGTCACATGGGGGGTTGGCTTGGATGTGATGGGCCGTGAGATTTAACTTAGGCTTGGCTTATCTATAGCTTAGCATGGCTTGCTTTTGGCTTGGATGAGATTTGAGTGGCTTCATGTGTCATGAGTTTAATTTTTATTGGGCTTGGACTTTAGTCTTTTAATTAAACTTAGGGCTTTAGATTTGTGTAAAATGTTGATTAATTTTGGATGTCCAATGTTTTGTTTTAAAGTTGGTGGTTTGGTGATTTTCATTAATTTTAATCTATTAGTTGATTTTATTAATTTTGTTTAATTTTATTTTTCATAATTTTAATGATTTTAGGATTTTGATTTATTTTTGGTCACTTTGATTTTTTGTGTTTAGCTTTAATTTTGTATATGTTTGAAATTGATTATTTTAAGATTTTATAATTTTCTTAAAATTTGAATGCATTTTGATTTTCTTACTTTGATTTTAATTTTTGTGATTAGGTGTATTTTGATCTTATTCAATTTTGATTTTTTTAATTCTTATTTAATTTGGTAGCTATGATTTATGGGCATGATTTCATCAAATTTTACTTTTGGGTTATTTGAAAGATTTTAATGAGTTTGGTCTTAATACTGAATTCAATTATATTGATAATTGGTTAAAATTTAATTTTATTGATTTTAGTTGAAATTGATTTTAATGATTTTGGTTGAAACTAAATTTTTTTTTGACTTATTTAATTATATTAATTTTGGTTGGCTTAATTATATTGATTTTGTTAAAATTGATTTTAGTTAATTAAATTTTTGTTGAAATTGATTATGCTGATATTTGAATTTGACTTTAGTATGATTTATGGGTTAATTTTGTTTAAGTTTTTAATTTATGATTGAATTTTGGTAAATTTTAGCATTATTAATTTTAATTTTGGGTAAATTTGAGAATTTTGATGATTTTTTTTACTTCCAATTTGTTGATTTTAATTGTTTAATTTTAATTTGTTATTAAAATTTAAAATTTCTATTTTTTATTAATTTTATTTTTCACTTTGGTAATTTTATAAGTGATATACACTATCTTAGGTCAAGGTGAACCTCATACCAGATGAGCTCTCAATGAACCAATGAAAGTGTTATCTAAGGGTTTGTGAAGAAAAAAGCGCAAAGTGAGAGATCAAAAGAGGAACTAAGACCGTAGGTTTAAAGGGCCACTTAAAACATTTTCAATCATATAGGAACTCAACTCAGGTCACAAATGACTTGACTCTAACCAACTCAACCAAGGCTAAGAGTTTAGAGTCAAGCATATTAAACCATAATGAATGAAGTTATGTTTGAAGTTCTAGCTTGGTGTTTGTTTTTCACCAGTCCCCTAGAAGAGCCATTAGGAAAACTAATAATATTATATCCTAAGTTCTAGGGTGGGGAAAGAGGATATGATAGGATATTCCTCATACAAAAATGAGGTCAACACTATTATCCCTCCTCCTTTCGCTCTTGAAAACCGTAGTAATCTTTAAATCTATTCTCTTCTGATCTGTTTGTGTGGGTTTGAGCCTTTGCCTCATTGATTTCACATGGATCTCTCTTCTTTTTCCCCCTTTCCCTTCTTCTAACATTTATATTATTAGTCTTGAATCAAAGCTCAACTAAAAAATCCTAGTTTCTTCTAAGATTCCTAATCCCACTAATTTCTCCTTCTCTTTCATTCCTCTTTTAGGTGAGAAGATCTTTTTTTTTAAATGAAGAGATTGAATAAGGTTTGAGACAATGGAATTTGGCTTTCGTGGGCTACGAATTGGGTTAAAGACCCTTCTATGGTAATTTTTTTTGCAAGCTATTCCCAAGAAACAAAAAAATCGAGATAATATCAATCTTATTTTACGGTATGGTTATTTTTTTCTTTCAAGTTTAGCAGTGTTGAAGATTATGAAATGATTTTTATGAGGAGCCTTGGTACAATAACAAGAGACCTTTTATCTTTAAAAATGGGTTCTTCTCATTAAAACTTATTTATCTTCTTTTTAACTTTATGATCCTTTCACCTTTTCTCACTATAGGCTTTTTCATTATGAAGGTAGTGTAAAAAATTTCAACTTAGTTGATAGTGGATGAATTTGAATTAATTCAAAATTTTTTGTCGTTTCTATAAGGTATTATTCATTCATACTCAATTAATTCATGGTGCAATTAGCTACTCACGTGGGCTTCATTTTTAGCTCTTTTTGAAGCGTTTATTTTATGCAGCATTATAGGGATAATGACATCTCCAATGTTGCTGTTAAACATAAGTTATTTCCATTTTCTCTAAGAGACAAGACTTAACTCATTGGCATGGGAACCATAATCACTTAAAATGACTTGGCCTAGAAATTTTAGCTAAATATTTTCACCTTATAAAATTATCAAGCTTAGGAATGACACTACCTCTTTCACTCAGATGAATAATGAGCCAATTTATGATGCATCTAAGTTTACTCTTCCCTTCAATTATAAAATAAATAAAATTAATAATCATCCTATATTTAACAAATTTTTTTATTTTAATTATTATATTTAAATTACATTAATATATCTAAATTAATATCAAGTTCATAAAAGCTAAAATCTGAAATATAATTTTGTTTTATTTCTAATTTTTGTGATTCATATAATTCTCAAATTAATTTAGAAATCGAACCATTTGATGAATCATAATACTTTCCAATGTTGCTGATAATGAAAATGGTAATCAAATAATATATTGGTTGTAGAAACAAAAGCTAATATTTTGTTGGGGTGAATTACTGTATTTTGTCAATGTAAATTTATTGTTAAAATAAGAATAAAAAAAACACTGTAATAAGAAAATTTGCTTCGCATTTTAGATTTCTTATAAGAAATCTATCAAAATATATCACACTCATGCAAGCCACATTTATTTTGTAATAAATGGACTTACATAGTTAATGTCTAAACTTCAATTTTTTACATGAGTTTAAAATATGTAAACATAAATGAATTTGATAGTATGTATGTAAATGCCTCCAATCATTTACATACATTCATACATTCATACATTCATACATTCATACATTCATACATTCATACATTCATACATTCAACATTCATTCATACATTCATACATTCTGATACATATTTACATATCTAGCATCCAAACCAAGAAAATGCGGTTGGTCTCCACCGTAATAATAATAATTGTGACAGCAACGTTCCTTAAATTCATGGTTGGCCTTGAGCTATATATATACTCCGGCTGAATGGAGGCAATTCAGCAATCAGTACTGTTGATTCCCATCCAAGGGCAGAAGAGGCGGCCACAGAAACCTCCGTCTTGCACTGTCAAACTTTTATTTGTTGCAGCATCTTCTGTCCTCCTGGGAAACCCAGCAGAAACCAGAGTTTGGCCTCCACACGAACAAAAACCCCACCTTTTCTTTCCTCTTCTTCTTGCTCATTTCCACCTCACTCTCATCGCCGATCCGATCAGGTTTAGGCTTAGGGTTATGATATTTGTTTCTGATTTGGAGGAGGTTTTCAGTAGCTATATATGCTTCCCAGTAAGAGAACCTGCGGAGCTGTGATAGAAAAAGACGGTGCCGTGAGAGAAGGAGTGCCGAAGAAGCCAAAGGGAGAGGGTTGCGTGACCTCATCATCGTCTGCTGAGGTGGCAACGGAGAACAACCACAGGCCACCGAAAGCGATGGACTTTTCGGCGGCGAACGGGAAGATGCAAGTAGAGATAGATGAAGATCTGCACAGCCGGCAGCTCGCTGTCTACGGGAGGGAAACCATGAGGCGGCTCTTTGCCTCGAACGTTTTGGTCTCTGGTCTCCAAGGCCTGGGCGTGGAGATAGGTGATTTGGAAAAAAAACAAAAACCTCAATAATCTAGCTTCATCGGATCTTGTTACTTGAGAATTATGACTCTTTTCTACTCCCATGCCACTGGTATTAGTTTTTCTTTTTTTTTTTTTGGTGGCGGGGCTTCATGTTATAGCGAGGTTATGCGGTATTGAGATGCATACTCTTGGTGTTGTAAACTATATCTTCTACAATGCAGTATTTGCTGACTTTTGTTTAGAGTGTGGCTGCTACGGGATTTCTGTCCGCCACGTTATACGCTATAGGGAAGATGTTTTGCTATGTGTTACTCTGCTCGAAATGGAATAATAGGAGGGAATTTTATTATTATTTTGAAAGATATACAGTTTGATCAAATGGGGACTTGTAAGCCATTTTCTCGTATGTGGAAAGTTTCGACGCCATGCTGCTTTTCAATTGCTGACTTTTGTTTAGAGTGTGGCTGCTACGGGATTTCTGTCCGCCACGTTATACGCTATAGGGAAGATGTTTTGCTATGTGTTACTCTGCTCGAAATGGAATAATAGGAGGGAATTTTATTATTATTTTGAAAGATATACAGTTTGATCAAATGGGGACTTGTAAGCCATTTTCTCGTATGTGGAAAGTTTCGACGCCATGCTGCTTTTCAACAACCATCTCGGAAAATTGTAGATAACAGGGCTAATTGATATTTTACTCGATGGCTAAAGTGAGCAACAATAAACCGTGAATTGTAGTTCCAGCAAAGGCGATCTATTATTGTTTATTTCTTCTATTTCTAGCTCTATTCCTTTCCTGCTGCTGTTGTTGCAAATTCTATTTGGGGAAACATGCACTCTTTAATTTGTTATATTTCTTTCCAATTTAATGTACTGTTTCCTTTATTTTTGGTCATGCATGACTTACTGCTGTTTTTTTTTCTTCTTGTAGCAAAAAACCTTGTCCTTGCTGGTGTTAAATCCATCACTTTGCATGATGAAGGCAATGTGGAATTATGGGATTTATCCAGCAATTTCTATTTATCAGAGGATGATGTTGGGAAGAATAGAGCCACAGCCTGCGTTCAAAAACTGCAAGAGCTGAATAATGCTGTTATAATATCTGCTTTAACTGGAGTTTTGTCAAAGGAACAGCTTTCAGATTTTCAGGTCTGTTATATAGCAATATGTTAACTGCTATTACATGTACTTGTTGTTTTGCACGTGCTTCAATGCACTATTGCTTGGTCAATCATTTTATTTTAATGTTTCTATTGTGAAAAAAAAATTTAATCACATATTTAGTAATTTCCAAGGTTGGCCTCTTTAAATTCCAAACTGAAATATATCTATTTGTTTATATGATAATATACATTATTTATATTGAGAAGATACTTTGGTAACTTATTGTATTGTCAAGAATGCTATCACAATTAACCAGCAGGTTAAAAGAATTTTTTTACATGGAATTTTTCATGGTCATTGTAACCATTGTAGAATTTATATTGTGTAGTAATCTGTACACACTGAAGTCATTCACGAATGGCATGCATCCAATTTTGATTAACTTTATATGAGACGGCCTTTTCTGTTTTAATGCGTATGAAAGGCTTGATATGAAAAGAAAAGGCATAGTAGTCTGATCGTTGTACTGATCTTCCTTAAAATAAACTAATATTTTTATGTGTCAAATTTATCCAAGATCATTTTAAAGATACATACCATGATTTTATATAGTGGACAAAGTCATTTGTTTTTTTTTCCCAATGTAAGCGGAACATTTTGTCATCATGCTTTTATTAACTCCTAAAATCTAGTATTTTTCAGCTTCGTGGTCTTTTAGCTGTTTAGGAAAGATCACAGACTTTTGATCTGCATTAACTATATAAATATTTCATTTGACAAAATAGTAGATTTACATTGGGAACGTGACCTTCGTTTAAAGGCCAATATAAGTGTGGTTTAAATTTATATCAATCTTAGCAAAAGAGCAGTATATCTAGGCGATACAACTCCCCAACACTAGGTGCTACCATTAGTGCCTACTCAAGTGACTCTAAAGAGAAATAACTTTATCACTTTATTTTAATTAGTAAGAAATAATTTTGAAGGTTATAAAATAATCAACAACACAAGAAATTTTGTATGAAAAAATTATGAAGCTTCAATTCTTGTCTCTTTACAAGTTTGAAAATCACACCAAGTAGTTTATCTCAAATTCATGCGTGTAAATTACTCAAGTTTGTAGATTGTCTGATTTTGGTATGATGGAATCTTTGTTTTTGTTTTTTTTTCCTTTTTTGTCATCATCCATTGTGTTTTCTATATCACTATATTTGTAACGCTTTATTGGTCAATTTCCTCATTTGATTTTTACTTGTTTTCAAGATTGTTCCATTTTTCTTAAATTCTTGATACTCTTGTAACATTATCTAGTGTCAAATTAGTATCATTACATAAACAAACCTATATTTTGTATTGTAATTACTATCGTATGTATATTGGATAAAGGGAAGGAGATTGTTTATGTCAAAGTGCTTTCTTATGCATGATGTACTAATAGTGTCTGCTTAAGAGTTTTGTTAGACATTATGGCCCCACTTTGCATCGCCTGAATGCCTAAACGAACACTTGGTTCACCTTTAACAACATTGACTTCTACAAGGTTTTTTTTGAACTTTTGAAATATTTTTTTATGGAATCATTTAAGCACCAATACCATCAAATTGCACTATAAAATCAGAAATTGAAGAGAATTTTATTTCTTCTTAATGATTCAATTCAAGGTGCATTTACATATAGAAGTCTCTCATCTTTAGATAAGGAAACTAACTAAATAAATTCAAAGAAATTCCTATTACATTCCAAGACTAATTAAACAAGATAAAAATAAAGAAGGAGAATAATATCTGTAGAAAAGAAAAGACAATAAATATTGTAATTTGAATTTTGAATTTTGAATTAGATCTTTCAACACTCCCCCTCAAGTTGGCATGAAGATATCTTTCAGAGTCAGCTTGCATACTAATGAAGACCTTTTGTTAGAATATCCGCTGCTTGGTCGTTGGAGGGAACATACACTATGCAAATATCTCCTCTGTCAATTTTTTCTTTGATGAAGTGGATGAAGTGTCTATCTCTACGTGCTTTGTTCTATCATGAAGGATAGGATTGTGGGCGATGGCGATGGCAGACTTATTATCACAATACACCTTTATTAGTGGTGGACTATGAATTTTTAACTTCTTGAGAATTCTTTTAATCCATAGAACTTCACATATCCCATGAGCCAAAGATATGAATTCAGCTTCAGCGCTGTTTCTTGCCACAACACTTTGCTTCTTGCTCCTCCAGGTTACTAAGTCCCCTCCTAGGAAAGTGCAATACCTTGAGGTTGATCTTCTATCTGTAACACTTCCAGCCCAATCTGCATCTGTAAATGCTTCTACCTGTAAGTGCTCATTTTTCTTGACAGTAGTTCTCTTCCGGATGTTCCTTTCAGATACCTAAGGATCCGATAGACAACCTCCAAGTGATGAGTATTTGGGGAATGCATAAACTGACTTACCATGCTAACAATAAATGTTATATCAGGACGAGTGTGTGACAAGTAGATTAGTCTTCCCACCAGTCTCTGATATTATTTTTTATTGACAACATCTATTTTATTTGTCACTTGTAACCTTTTATTTGGTTCAATCGGAGTTTCAACTGTTTTGCACCCAAGCGTTCCGGTTTCACTGAGTAAGTCGAGTACATACTTTTGCTGATTAATAAAGATCCCCTCCTTAGATCTGACAAACTCAATACCAAGAAAGTATTTTACATCTCCCAGATTTTTAATCTCAAATTCTGTGTCCAATCTTTCTTTCAATTTCTCAATTTCCCTAGCATCATCTCCTGTAAGGATAATATCATCTACATAGACAATGAGTGTAGCGAGTTTACCAGTTTCTGAATGTTTGTTATACATAGTATAATTAGCTTGACCCTGAGTGTATCCATATGTTGTAATCACCTGTCCAAACCTCTCAAACCAGGTGCTAGGAGATTGCTTGAGCTCATACAAGGATTTCTTTAATCTGCACACTTTGTCTTCTCTAAATTTCTTCTCAAATCCTGGTGGAAGATCCATGAATACCTCTTCCTCTAATTCACCGTTTAGAAAAACGTTTTTGACGTCGAGCTGATGCAGGGGCCAATTACGGTTTGCTGCTATGGACAGTAAAACCCGAATAGAATTGATCTTGGCTACCGGAGCGAATGTCTCATGATAGTCAATTACATGAGTTTGAGTAAATCTTTTCGCTACTAATCTTGCTTTATATCTTTTAATACTCCCATCAGCTGACTTTAGTAGTGAAGACCCATTTACACCCAACAGTAGACTTGTTTCTTGGTAGAGTGACAATTTTCCAGGTCCCATTTTTCAAAAGAGCATCAATCTCTTCCTTTACTGCTATTCTCCAATTTGGATTATTAAGAACTTCCTGTATTGTTCTAGGTTCAGACAGATTAGAAATTTTTGACAAAAAAGCTTTATGTTTGTGTGAGATTTTTTTGTAGGATAGGTATTTCGAAATGAGATATTTGGTAGTACAAGAACGTGTTCCTTTTCTAAAGGCTATAGGAAGATCCAAATTCATAATCTCTGAATCTTGAGCTTCTGTTGGTGAAAAAAATAAAATTAGGATCAGAAATTACCTGTGTTTCTTGTGGACCATTATTCGATTCTTCAGATTGGGAGGGAGCTAAAGATTCAGTTTGAACTTTTTTTCTTTTATGGAGCCTCTCTCTGGAATAAACAAGAGGTTATGCTGTTGTATTGTGCGGTATTTCTTCCCCTGTATTAGACAAGATACTTTCAGGTATCTCTTGACTAGGGTTCTCCTTATTTTCAACAACTATTTCTGGTTCTTTGTTTTCACAGACCTCAGGTGTACTTGTTGTTACAACAATTTTTGGTAATGGGTTAGAAACTTGCCAAAAATCATCTTCTTAATCTATATTATACTCCCCATGAAGTGGATTTTTGTGAAAGAAGAGAATTTTTTCCATGAAGGTCACATCCATACTAATGTAAATTTTTTTTGTGACAGACTTAAAGCATTTATAACCCTTTTTGTTTGAGGCATATCCAAGAAAAAATGCATTTTTCAGATTTTGGATCCAATTTTAATCGGCAATTATTCAGAATATGAACTAAACATATGCATCCAAAGATTTTTAAAGGAATATTTGAAGACATTCGTAGACTTAAAAAAGTATTTTTCAGTTTGTTTAGAGGTGTTGTTTATTGTAAAACTCGAGTTGGCATTCGGTTTATTAAATATGATGCTGTTAAAACAGCGTCCCTCTATAAATATTTTGGAACATTCATTGAAAACATGATAGCTCGAGCAATCTCAAGTAAATGTCTATTTTTTCTTTCACCAATTTATTTTGTTGTGGAGTGTCACGACAAGTAGATTGATGAGTTATGCCTTTGTTTATTAAGAACTTTCCTAAACATTCATTAAAATATTCAGCTCCATTGTCAGATCTAATGATGCATATTTTAGTTTCAAATTGAGTTTCAATCATGTTGTAAAAATCTTTAAAAAGTTTTTCAACTTCTGATTTTTTTGCTTATAAGATAAACCCAAATTCTGGTGTGATCGTCAATAAAAGTCATAAATCTCCTTTTTCCAGATAATATTTTGACTTTTGAAGGTCCCCAAACATCACTATGGATATTGTAAAAGGTTTTGAAGGAGAGTATGGTTTTGGAGAAAAATTTATGCGATGAGTTTTTGTCAAATAACATGTTTTACATTAAAGTAAAGCATAATTAACACCCTTAAACAAATTTGGAAATAAATGTTTTAAATATGAAAAACTTGGATGACATAGTCTATAAGATGTGATTCCATTATTTTCTCTAATGCAGGGTTCGACCTCATAATGCTGTAAGCTTCAACCTTATTTTTACCAGGAACAGTCTCCTCAAAATAGTAAAGTCCTATCCTTTTAGCTCTCCCAATCATCATCCCGGACTTTTGGTCCTGAAAAACATAAGAGGATTCACAGAAAATTATATGGCAGTTAGAATCTTTTGAAAGTTTGCTGATGGATAGAAGATTACATTTGAGTTTTGGAACATGGAATACAGATTTAAGATCTATACTCTT